TGCATCCTCAGCAAGTTTGCCGATGACACCAAGGTGTGTGGTTCGGTTGATACCCTGGAGGGAAGGAATGCCATCCAGAGGGACCTCGACAGGCTTGTGAGGTGGGCTGATGCCAACCTCATGAAGTTTAACCATGACAAGTGCAAGGTCCTACACCTGGGTCGGAGCAATCCCAGGCACAGCTACAGGTTGGGCAGAGAAGAGATTCAGAGCAGCCCTGTGTAGAAGGAGTTGGGGATGTTGGTTGATGAGAAAATGAGCATGAGCCAGCAGTGTGCACTTGCAGCCCAGAAAGCCAACCATATCCTGGGCTGCATCAAAAGGAGCGTGACCAGCAGGTCGAAGAAGGTGATCCTGCCCCTCTGCTCTGCTCTTGTGAGACCTCACCTGGAGTATTGTGTGCAGTTCTGGTGTCCTCAGCATAAAAAGGACATGGAACTGTTGGAACAAGTCCAGAGGAGGGCCACGAGGATGATCAGGGACTGGAGCACCTCCCGTATGAAGACAGGCTGAGAAAGTTGGGGCTGTTCAGCCTGGAGAAGAGAAGGCTGCGTGGAGACCTCATAGCAGCCTTCCAGTATCTGAAGGGGGCCTATAGGGATGCTGGATAGGGACTCTTCATTAGGGACTGTAGTGATAGGACAAGGGGTAACGGGTTAAAACTTAAACAGGGGAAGTTTAGATTGGATATAAGAAGGAAATTCTTTCCTGTTAGGGTGGTGAGGCACTGGAATGGGTTGCCCAGGGAGGTTGTGAATGCTCCATCCCTGGCAGTGTTCAAGACCAGGTTGGACGAGGCCTTGGGTGATATGATTTAGCGTAAGGTGTCCCTGCCCACAGCAGGGGGGTTGGAACTGGATGATCTTAAGGTCCTCTCCAACCCTAATTATTCTATGATTCTATTAAAAGCAAATGTCCAAGTTCAGCAGTGTATTGAATTATATGGGAGGCCTACTACATATAAGGGATAGCTAAAGAAAATTTTGAAATTAATAAAAGGCACAAATGATTTTCAGTAACTTACAATTATCTGTCTTTTCCTTCCTGATGGAAGGACATAACACTAGTGTGTACAGCAAAGACACGTACCAAATGAATTTTCTGACCTGTAGAAAGGAACATGATTGCAACTGATCTTGTACATGTATACTGGCACATAGTCTGAATGAGGCTCTAAACTTGCTTTAGGGAATGATTATTCAAAACTATTTACATTAATAGTAAGTCCTGGGAACATGAAATTCAGAACTATTCCTGTGGTTTTGCTCACGGCACCTAAAATATATAATAAATTAATCTACTTCATATGAATAGAATCATAGAATCATAGAATCGTTAGGGTTGGAAAGGACCTTAAGATCATCTAGTTCCAACCCCCCTGCCTTGGGCAAGGACACCTTACGCTAAATCATATCACCCAAGGCCTCGTCGAACCTGGCCTTGAACACTGCCAGGGATGGAGCATTCACAGCCTCCCTGGGCAACCCATTCCAGTGCCTCACCACCCTAACAAGAAAGAATTTCCTTCTTATATCCAACCTAAACTTCCCCTGTTTAAGTTTTCCAGTTAAAACTATAAAATAAATTATCTGAATTCTTCAAATGCAGTAGTAATGTTTCCTGTAGTTATTTCTGCTGTACTAACAGAGGACATAAGTTTACCCTATGAAAAACTTAATTATCTTAGGCAAGCATTCTGAATTCAAGTTATTTTCTATAAGCTCGTTCACTGTTTTACTGTCTATAGTCTCTTGTACATAGTAATACACAATGTACCTCCTTGGACTATTCTGTAACGTGCTCAAAGAGGGTCAGGCCTGAAACAGGTATGGTTTGCAAGTGAAGGGACTATTCATGGGAGCTCATGCAGCTCCAGATTTGCAACAGCACTGTGTTTCATTAGCATGAATTTGAAATGAATCACCACCTTAGCAAGTGAAATAAAGAGGTACATAAGAGAAAGGAGTAACACTCAGCTCCAGATCCCATTCTAGTTTGATTACAGCATGGCTTTAGGATTAGAACTGTTTATTTTTTTGTTGCTGGTTCATGGCACTGAAGCCTTTTTTTTCCATGTGGGAGACAGTTACAGTAGGAAGCTTTGAAATGTATAAAAGTTTAGGCTGAGAATACAGGTGTCCCAGTGGCCAGTTTACCAGAGGAGAGAAGTATGAGTATGAACATTATCTGTTTCACAGGCTTGCTCTCAAGCTAAACTCTGCCAGTTTTCAGAAAAATCTGGATCCTGTCGACACTTGGGCTGCCAGAACTTTTACTACTTTTGCATATATAGAGATAATAAAAAGATAGATTGCTTTTTCTTTTCCCTGAGGGTGGCTATGGGAAAACTTGTATTAACAGAAATAGCAAGTTCAGAATGCTTTTTATCAATGTGGTCTATACTGCACAAACTATTACTTTAAGGTAATAGTCATAGTTGCTTGCATGATACTGAAGCAGTGATAGGCCATGCAAAAGATCTGAGGATTCAGCCTTTTCAAATTTAGTATGTAAATGGTAATACTAAATAAATGAAAATATCATTTCCAATATAAAACTTGAATCTAAATCTTGAAGACCAGATGCAGGTCTGTAGTGCTGTCATAACATCAAAGAATGGAAGTTGATATAGATGACTTACAGAATTGACTGCACATTGAAGGCTAGTGCTGAAAACCAATTCTTCCTATATTGTACAACCAGTTTGCAAACTATTAGAATGTTCTAATGGATAAAAAAATAAAAATAAAAAAAGAGAACAGCATTTTGGTTTGACTTTAGAAGAATCTGGGATCCAAGAATTACTGTGGGTTAAATCTTTTGTTTCTTTTATTTGTATAATTCCATTAACCATATGGGGTAGAACAGAATATAGGTTAAGCATTTCCAGAACCCATTTTTGCTGCTTCTTTGGATTACTTAGATCTTGCATCAGAGGTATTCTGTGCTTATTTCCTTCCTTACTAGAGTAAATGGACAGGGATTAGAGAGAAATTTTGCTTGACTTTACCTGCTACTCATTAACCAAGCAGCTGAGACACTGCAAGTTCATTGTGTATAGTAATTGCTGGTAGTGATGAATTAACGTCTTCCTCCCAAAAGACAGGGAAGAGCTATTAATTTGGGGAGTGTATCTGAGGCATATTTTCTTTAACAGAATCAATTGTGTGTTTTCCCAGGGTTGTAACAAAACCCTTCTATTTTCTGTAGCACTTCATGTATAAAAGTTTTACTTTTTAATAAGAAGTGTTTCCTTTTAGCTTTCGTTATCTTAATGGCCTGAAAATATCATGCACACATGTGCAGGGTGGAAGTGAGATTTTTCCAGTGAACTCATTATGACACTTTGTAGAATTATAAATACTGGCAGTTACTTCCTTAGTGTCAATTAAAATTCTTATAGTTGTTCCCAGGTTTGCTCTAATGGCATGTGTATATCTTTTAAGCAAAATGTGCTCCGTACTAAATGGCTTTGTTTAGAGTGTTTCTAATAGTAATGTCCCTGCCACATGCATCTGCTTGGTCTGTGTAATCTCTTGTAGAATGTTTTCTGGCATTGAACTGACAGTGTATGCTTAAGCAAGCCTGTTTTAGTTTTTTGCATCTCTGCTAGTAATTAATGTATAGCTTGGGGTATCCTCAATTAATTGTGGGGAAGACCAAATTTTAATGAGATGTATACAATCAGGCATTTGACTGTGGATAATAGGTAAGAAAAATGTTATTTGCAGAAAAACTTTTGTGAAATGATGTGGCTATGGGTGTGGTGAAACATTCAATCCCCTTTTTTAATTGGTCTGGTTTTGGGCTAAATATCAGGCTTACAAGATGTTTGTTGAGAGCCCTTCTGTTGATTTGGACAGGAACAATACTTTGATAAAACTGATTCATCTTCCAAGGCATCTCCCTAGTTCTCTGTGTGTACTAGTTTGACAGCATTAGTTTTTGATGTATTCTGGAGGATCGAGCCATAACTATAAATCTAAATGGTTTAGGGAACCAGTATGTACCCCTTCTGTCCTTTAAACTCTGTTTCAAAAGCGCAGGCAGAATTTAGGTGACAATGTAGTCCTTGAATTACTGCTCAACACAGGGGGGAGTGTAATGCTTAGAAATCCAATTTACCTGAAGTCAGTGAAAATCTTCCACTGCCTGCAAGGGATAGCAAGCTAGGAGAACAATAATCTAGGACTTCATAGTTGTGTGGACTGTCATATTTAGTATGAATGTGTGTGTACAATCACACATGTAAATATTTTTGTATATTTCTTTTATATATATATATGTAAAAATGTTTACATGCAAATATGTGCAAAGGGGGAAGAGAGATGTTCCTTATTCTGCTTCACAAAATGACTTTAATTTTTTTATTAACAAAACACAGTTTATTCACACACAAGCCAGGAAAAACAAAGTGTCCTTTCCTCATCCTGCACTTTGTTATTGGTTTTCCCACCTCATGTGTGAGTGGAATTGAGGTTGTCACCTCATTGTGGTCAGTTCCACACCTTTTTTCAGGGTAAACAGCATGCAAACTTGTATAAGCAGCATCTGAGCCAAGGCCATTTTTATAAACCAAGCCTTAATTTGTTATTGTTTTGGCATCTATGAATGTGTGTGTGAGACCATGTGGGCTGGCTGTGGAAGACGTACTATAAAAACTAACAGTGGAATGTTCATCTGGAGATGCTCTGTTATTTATGAAAACTTGGGGCCCAATCCTGCCACCTTCTCTCACGCTAACCATCCTGCTAAGGTCAGCCAGTGATTATATTTCTTTAAGGATGACTTATGCACGTAAAACTTCACTGGATTTGATGTATAGATGGAATTTTCAAACTTTGTAAGAGAATTAGATAAACTGTGTCTGCTCACATCCGCTGGATGTTGAAATGCAATCTGTGCCTTTGGAATTAAAAACTAAACTGGTATGAACTGAGGGGGAAGGAGAAGGAGGAAGGAAGTTTTTACATTTAGTTGTGTCTTTTTTTATTTTATAGGTGTTCACTATAAGGAACTGGTTGTAGGAATTCAAAAGAAATGTAAAGGTGAGAAACAAGTTCCAGACCCTCCCACTGGTTTTCAGTCCTTGTTAAAAGAAGGATTGAAAGTGCAAGTGCAACATAAAGCTGACAAAGAAGTGAAGTTATCTGAGCAATGCAAACAAGCTCAAGCAGTAATTAATGTTGTGAAAAATATATTTGGTTCAGATACTGTTTTAAAGGTAAGTTTCACATTTGATATGAATAATGTGACCCTATTTCTTCTGAAGACCTAAAGTTTCCTTTCATATTTGTACCAAATTAGTTGAACTGCCTGTATGACATCATTCAGTAAGCAGATGTTGCTTTATATATTTGCAGTAAAGGAATGGATATTTTGTATGCCAGTGCTGTAGACGTCTATTAAATTTCTTTTGCATTAGAGATCTTGTTTTAGGTATATCCCAGAGGATTCTGTTAGTGATCTCAGCTTGTGTAACCTTTAGCCAGGTAAGTTACCTGCCAAACTGGTAGAATTCTGATCACTGAATGCAAATTAATTTAGTCTGCTTCCATTTTTTTATTGCTGGTCCTAAAGCCTCAATCTTGTGCCAGGGTCTGTTACAGCTGTACTTACTATAGGGAACATATTTAGAGCATAGTGGAGGACTGCATGAGGGATACGATTCCATGTAATTATTTAAAGCTGAATCTTAAATTAGACTTAATACTAGCCTATACTACTATTATTAATATGTTTAATCAAATAAGCATGATATGTTTTGTATCCAAACTTAAATGAAGATCTAGGAGTACATGCAGCAGCTTTGCCCAAGAAAAATGCTGTGCTTGTCAGCCTTGTCTACCCAGCTCAGAACCCAGTCCTGCCAAACTTACTGAACGCAAAGCTACAGTTCTAGTAACAGACTAAGTTACTCAAGGATATGATGTCCTTAGCATGATGGCCAACACCTGCAGAGCACTGCAGGTAATAACATTAGTGCACTACTGTTAATCTTGCATCCCAGATCATACTGGCTTGTTTGTTTGTCCTGCTGTGGGCTTTTCCACACAGGCAGAGTTATTTCAGAAGGGAAGCTAGAGCAATGCTGGCAGTTTCCAGAGCCTGATTTCCAGATGGGCACTGGGCAAGGAGGAGCCAGCTGAAATATTGCCTAGATAAAGCAAAACCTGAGCTATCAAATGATGGTTTTCCTTACCAGGCACAACCCAAAGGAAAGACTGAAAAACCTGAATTAAGCTAATCTGTCTCAGCTAAATGTGATCTTCAATTTAGAAACTAGAGCAATTTGAGCTTTAGGAATACTCCCCTGCTTTTTGGCTTCAGCTTTCACAAGCAGACCTAAAGAAATAGTTTTGACCACGTTATTAAGAGGTTCAACATTTTTTTAGGGCTCATGTATCATGGTGGGTGTTTGTTTTGTTTTGTTTTTTGGTGCTTTAGCATCACTCTTTTTGTAAAATACATTATACATGCCCTTTCTAAGAACAATAGCTATTATAGGTATAAAAACAAAACTAATGTTAGTAAATCCATTGAGACATATGGTAAGAAATTCCATTGACAGCATGATAAATGTGTCTTATACTTGGCATAGCTTTAACATACCACTTTTTATTATTTTTCCATTATAATCTTTCACATAACTAAGAGTGTAATATAAGATTGCTTGCAAAGGAAAGTGTGATCTGCTCATGACATGCAAACAGGATTGTCTTTAGGTTGGAGTGGAACCTGTAATACTGTCTCTGAAGATGCTGTGTTTATTTTGAGGCCTGGCCCTGGAGACAGTTTGAATTGGGTAAAAGAATCTCTTACTCTTCCTAAACTTGCAGCCTCTCACAACTAAAGGTGCAAAATCCTCCCTGCTAGTTTTGAACTCTGGCTCCCCACATAGGATCACATTGCATTAGTGGCCAAACAGTGAAGACCAGTTGTCATTCAGTATAAGACACATTTTGAAACAATTCAGATTTGGAACTGATTTCAAAGCCATTTAGATTTCTATAAGGAACTCATTAGAAAACCCCCACATATAACTAGTTTAAATACTGAATCAATTATTTATGTACATAGGCTACATATTGAAATGGTTTAAAGTTTGAATCAGTTGATCTCAAGCAGAATCAATTTGGTAAAGATATCAAACACATATAGGTGCTTCATTGAACAAAGCATTTTCCCTGCCACTTGCTGCCTTGCCACTGATATTTTGTTCAGGCATCATATGAAAACAGTTTTTCATATCACTACTTATGATAGCATACTGTGGAGGTAGAGAGTGAATGTGGTCCTCTGTTTTCCATGTCATGCATAACATGCTGTAGCAAAGTAATTTTATGCATTTCTTTTCTGCTCTCTGTATATCCAAAAACATTAAGTGCTCTTTCATAGCAAGAAGGATGTTTGGGCCCATCCTTGGGCCACTTCTGTTTAGCTTTTAATGTCCCATATGCAGAAGAGAAAACACACTTTCCTGGGATTTTTATTTCTGCAAAACCCATCCAGGACTCAAGTATCTAAGGAAGTGTCTTGAAAATCAGTAAACAATAAGCTTAATGTTTAGTATTAAATTGTACAAAATCTATATTTTTATGCAAGACTTCATTTAAATCTTTACTAATCGTAAGAATAAAGTACAGCTGGTCTGATGGACTCAGATGCTAATGCCCTTATAATAGTATGTCTAACAAAACAGCAGTGGGACATGTAGGGAGTTAAGCTGAATCAAACAATAAGTAGTTGCTTTTCTTTGAATCCGAACAATTCAAGCAAGACTTCATGTTGCTTTAAAGAAGACTTATTTAGCAAAAAGACTTGTCACTTACTGCAGTTTGCAGAGCAGAATTTTTTCCTGCCTTCTTTCCCTCACTAGAGGTGAACACTAAGCTGCTGTTGTGAAGGGAGAGAACTTGTTCACTCTGATACCTGTGTTTTCGTGCTTTTGCTCCTTGGAGTGCTCTGTAAGTGCTTTGAGATCACATTAGCTTTCACCCAAATGCTGCCTCAATTCCATTATAACTGTTCATCCTGTGAATTTTTATGCACTGTACCATGTATATGCAGGCTTAGATTCAACAAGGAGAGAAATTCAGTCCTTTCACTGATACTCTGTTTCCTCTTTTACTATCACAGTGCTGTCACCACTGGTTTCCAATGAAGTTCATTCAGTTGCCAGCATTTTTCTCTATCCTCAGCCTCACATCCTACACTGAAGGAGCTGGAACTATGTTGGGATGCTGTTTTAAGACTGTAGAAGCTAAGAAGAGTCAGGATTATTTTCTTGTGGTTTTAAGTTTTCTGATGTCAAGGTTTGTCACATCATCCCAGTAAGGAACCTTATTCTGGTTCTGATAGAACCAGCTCTAAACAAATGGTGACCCTGGCATCTTTTCAAATACCAACTCTGACTCTGTTTGGCAGGCTTAGCACAATGATGCAAAGCAGTTGTTTTCTGTGACCCCTTTTCCTGGATGGAAAGAGGTTGCTTTATTATGTATCCTCCCTGTTTGAGCCCTCCACATTTTCAGGAAATCATCAGTATTTTTTCCCCTCTTAGAATAATACTGACCCAGTAGAGCGGTCCATCTCCAAGTATTTCTTATTGCCATACCTTCTGAATCAATACAGTCTATGGATCTTTAAATATATCAAATATTGTAAAATACCAGTATTCAGATTTCACCATATCTTCCCTTCTGGCAGTGAGCATATGTAGGATGAGTTAACTGATCAGTATGGTGGGAGCAAGTGAAAACTAAAGTGAGATCCCCCTGTTTATGATTTAAAAAAAAAAAAAGGAAGGGGTGGGATGGGGTGTGTGTTCTGCTACTGCTTGAGTCCTTCCAGACCTTTTCACTATTCTCACTTGCAAAATATAAATTATCAGGGTCTTTTACGTCTTTGAGAGAAAACAAAGAAGTGGCTGATGAACAAAACTGTACAGAAGTAAGCAGTTAATTTCAGTATGATCTGAATTAGTGTCTGGCTGTTATAGAGTTGGAGATGAGCAAACTATTCATTAACAAACATTATAAAACAGGAAAAAAGTAAGCTTATGGCCTTGTTACTCCCTCAATAGCAAAGAATCCACAAAATAGGATTCAGTAATGATTACTAAAGAAGGAAAAGAGAACAAAAAACTCGTATGCTGGTATTTGGAGAGCTTTGATGTGGCATTTTCATTCCCTGGTGTTTTCAAACCAGACTTTTTCAGTCAGACTAAACTGAAGCATATTTTACAAGCCAGAAATTATCTTTTCACTTTCTGTTCATATCTGAGAATGAAAAAAGCAAGGCAATACAAGCTGATGAGTAGTAAGGTGTGTTGATGGAGACAAGCTGGGAGTTCATTGACAGTAAATGGGGATTAGCAATTTTTTTTTTTTTCCCACAGAAAAGTGATGTTATTTCAGTGCCATCAGGAGTAACAGCATGGAGAGATAGAAAACTTTTAACTGTATCACATCTGTGCTGAAGAACAAAGTAAAACTTCCAGAGAACTAATAAATATCTGATGCACTTCTATGCAAATAACCTAAATGGCAAGCTTTCTTGTGATGTGTATAACCTTCCCATGTCTCTAGGGATACAGAACAAGATCTTGTACTGCACCTGTAAAAAAAACCTGATGGTCTGCTTTTCTTTCCAGCTCGGTCCAGTTTTTCATCTGATTTCAGTAAGGTTTGAAGTGTATCAGATACAGAGAAAGGCCTTCATCTACAGCTTAAGTTTGGTTCAGTAGATTTGTTCCTTCGTTTGTATATCTGTAAGGATATTATGACTATGACCTCACAGTTCAAAATGCTTTTAATAGGAAACATTTTCTACTTAACTTTTCCAAAGCCAAGTTATGTTTATGACGGGGATTATGTGTGGTGTTTGCAATTGAAGGAGATGGGACCTCATGACCTAGATTGGGCCCTTTAGTTGCATCTTTTTATCTTCTTAAAGGGGGTATCCTTCACTTTTGCATAAAGAGATGAAGCTAAACAAATAACTTCATGTAGTCAGCCACAGTGAAGTTAACGGGCAAAAAACGACAAGCCATGATAATGTCAGCAGTCAATATTGTTTCTCTTTGCAGAACCATAAACAAAATCATGAAACTAGTCTCTAAAAGGTCTTGATGACAGCTCTGGTAAATTTAAGCAATCTGGTTACAAAGATGAATGGTATTTTCCTGTTGCACATTCTCTCTCTCTGAAGCTCTTTAAATCT